TATATATATATACAGTATATGATGAACTCAACTGCAATGTCCTTAAGTTTTGGTAGATGTAATCATCTTACATACATTTATTAATGCATTAAAGCTGTGTTCACACTGCAAGCCTTAACGCTCAATTCCGATTTATTCTAATTAATTTTTTTTGCCTGGCCATTCACATTACTTTTTAAATGTGGCTCATATCAGGCTCCAGTGTGAACAGGAATGAGGAATGTGTAGAGTGACGTAAAAGTTCTGAGGTGACTGTTCGTATGACAGAAAATCACACCTCAGTCTCAGTGGGATTCGTACTGTTCACACTGTCAGGAAAAATCGGATCTGAGTCACATCTGAGCAAAACACTGTCACTTTGCTGCGGTTTGAGCTAAATGCTAACACCAGCATGCTAACCTGCTCACAGTGACAATAGACCTTTTTCACAGCAGTCATTTTTACATAAAATAGTAAAGGTGTTCCCAACATTGAGGAGGATCTATTTAATGTCAGAAATTTAATATAATATCCATAGGTATGTTTTTATTAATGTATAATCACCTGAATATAAAAATACTTAAAAATGAGCCGTTTTTATCTACAGAGTGGGTCCTCTAGATTGGGCCATTTGGATTTTTTTGCATGTTTTCACAGCCACCGTAGATCGTCCTGCACACAGGCTGAGCTGTGTGCAACTGGTACCACTAAATCCTACACTCTGGCACTTTTTATTTGTTCCATTTAGTGTAGCAGAGCTAACATGCACTATAATAACACCCTGATTCATATCATTCCTAACACTTGTGTTTACCCTACTGTTTCATGTTAAAAGCTGCTATGAAAGAAGGCCTATGCTAACAGGTTCAGTTCTCTGTCTCTGAGGTTAAATGCCGTGCTCAAGGTGGTGGTGGTAATGGGGGAGGGGCCAGCACTGCTTTTTACTTTCCCCGCCCAGATTTATTCTGCAGTGTGAAAAAAAAAAAAAAAAAAAACATGGTTATTTTTACAGTAAAAAAACAGCAGCTGTGGTTGCCAGAACTTTACTGTAATAAATACAGTATAACTTTCCTGCTATTACAGTAAAAGGATATAAGTACTGTTGATTTTATGGTGACAGTTGGAGTTTTATTCCATATTTTACTGTATAAATATAAGTTTTTACCATCTAAAGAAACATGAAAATACCATCTGAATGTTGTTTTCTGTGTAATTTACAGTCCATAACATAGAAAAACGACTTTATTCCATATAAACTATTTCAAAATGTCATATAAATAAAGGTTTTGCTATGAGATATGACAGTGTTTTACTTTTACAGAAGCTGTATTTAACCTATTTAGAGTTTATGGCATTTTACTGTCACTACTTATGTTTTAGACCGGAAAGTCACTGTGAAAGACACATTTTTTTACAGTGTGCTGGTCCGCAAGATTAAACAGAAAACCTTCCAATCAAACTTGACATTTCATACAGTTTCAATGGTTTCCTTTTAAAGTGACCATTCACTAATATTCAATAACTTTGAAGTTGTAGAGAATCGTTATACATTTCAGTTTTTGTTACATCATTCTCATTGCGAGATAAATTACTTACTGGTCTTTATTTCTGCCCACCAGCAATGGAAC